ATATGGATTTTTTATCGCAAACGCTAAGGCTAGGAAAAAAGGGCAAAGTCGATAAAGAAAGACACAGAGAGCTTTGACATGAAATAATAAACTTGAAGGAAGAATTAAAAAAGTTACTGAAAAAAAAAATATTTAAAAATTCGAGAAACAATCTGGACATAAATTTTGGGCATGCATGTACATAAGGATGTACAAAGGTAATTTAAAAACTGAAAAAAAAATTTTTAGTTATACAAAAACTGAACGTATATGTTCGGTAATTTAAAAACTGAACAAAAATTCTTGGTTTGTATGTAATTCAAAAATTGAACATAATTTTTTTGCCAATTAAAAAAAAGGAAAATGAATTTTTGGTCAATTAAAAAGCAGACATATTTGTAATGATAGAAATTTTGTTAAGCAATTTATAAGGGAATAAATTTGGGTATATTAAAAAGTAGAGATAAATTTTTAAAAATAATTGAACAATTTAACACAAATTTTGAGTATTCTACAAACTAGAACTTTTCTAAATTTTGAAACTCAACATAATTTCTTGGTGCATTAGAAACTTGAAATATTTTGGTTAACAAAAAAACTGAACAAAATTTTTTCGAAAATTTAAAAGCTGCACATAAATTTTTAGAATTTTGTATAACCGATAATTTGTATTGACATAATTTTTTTGGTAGTTTGGTAGTTTGCTTAGGTTTGCTCGGCTGAGCTATGAGATCTCGCATAGACCATTAGTTGGTCCTTAGGGTTACAAAGAAAAAGGAAGCATATGCTTAACACCAGATCATAATGCACTTTTTAGTGAGTTTTAGCAATTCTATAGTCCTTTGGTCTAAAATGTCCCTTCATGAAGAGAACAAACCAGAGCTAAGTTAGTGCATATATCCTATTCCTGTATTATAGAACAAAAAGCGAGCCTGCCACTATAGCAACTACTTTCTTAAGGGCTGACTGATCGTCGATGAAACGTTGGGTTTGAAGAGTTAGAGCCTCTGCCGATTCAACTACTTAAGTTGCAGCAGTAGGAGATATCTAATATGACTCTTCAAGTCCAAGCTCAGGATAGGATCGTGGATCGAAATCTCTTTTTCCACCCGTCTTGCTCTATTATTATGTATGGCTCTTGTCTAAAGCTGGCCTGAGAAACGACATTGTTTGATTTATTGTATAGCTTAAACAAATTGCTTTGGACTAAGTGGCGAGTTTTCTGCCTCAATACTTCGCAACTTAGTCTATAGGACGGGGTAACAATTTTGTTTTCTTGTACCTTGGAAGTAGTTCGAAAAGTTTAAATTATAGTTCCGAAAGCCCTTTTACACTCTCCAACCTTTTGACTTATATCTATGTACTTATTATACGAAGGCACCATGCAACATTCTTGTGAATCGGGCTGTTGGGATCCATATTTTACTGTTTATTTTCGCCGGGATCATGAGACTCTCGTTCCTTCATGCGTTTTCTACGCAGTATGTATTTTATCTAATTCTACTCAATTTATCGCCACAGCTACATTCTCGCACTCACTCTTCACGCATATTTATAGCGAGCCTAGCCCGCTGTTCTTTAGGCTGTATTAAGCTCATTTAAACCACATTAAATAATTTATAATGTGGTGGCGAGAACACAACGCATTGCGGTATTTTAATGAGTTTTGCCTTTTGGCCCACAAAGGCAAAGAACAAAAAATACGAAAGTCCATAAAAAAAATCTACAGAAAAAAATTACGTAAATCCAACTACAGCCCACAAAGAAATTAAAAATATTGGCGAAAAAACAAGTCAGAAAATAGCAACAAAATACAGCATCATAATAATGCTTAAAGCATTATAACCAACAACAGCAAACAAAAAATTATAAATCTCATAAAAAATCGACTCAGATTACAACGCTCGCGCCAGCGTGTACGAAAATTACCGTGAAATAGACATAAAATGTTCATTGCGAGCAGCCGAAGGTATTAAATTAAAGCAACAAACGCAGCGGCAGCAAAAATTAAGCTATATATGTACTATATATATGTGGATAAGGTAAACAAAAATATAATAAGTTAAATAAATTAAGAAAAAAAGGCTCGCGTGTAATCATTGCCAACACCAACACCGAAACGGCCACCTCAGCTCCCGCTCAAGCTAAGCAGATACAGTAATCAACCTTACCAGCTTTACAACGCTGCGGTCGTAGCCGGCTTTTAGGCCTTAAAGGCCAACGCACGCAAACTCTGGTCAATAAGCCGTCAAAGCCGTTATTGTTGTAGTTGTTGCTGTAACTCAGCTCATTGGCTGGTTGGTTGACTGACAGACGCTTTTGTCTATATTTGAACACACGAGTTCGACTTCTAGGTAGGCTCGTGCACACATTCATGCCTATGTGTATGTGAAGCAGTTTGTCGCTACTTATAATGACGGTCAAAAGTTAAATTTTTTATGATAATCGAGTCGTCGATTCGATGGCAACAAATGTAAATTTTTAATGACTCAATTGCCGCCAAATCTGTTGGATGAAATCTGAGCTGTTTTTATGGGGGACTTAAGATGCTGGAGTAGGCATATGTATATTAGGGTGGTCCAAAAACAGTAAAGTCGGAATTGTAATGCTCTCACCCCCCTAGTATTGTTCTGTGTCGAAAAAAGTATACTCCTACTTTTTTATTTTGAAATCAAAAAATATTTATTTTGAAATCAGAAAATATTTATATTTGCAATGAAAAAATGGTTAAATAAACAATTGGTAAACAGAGTTTTCCGATAAAAAATATTGATTTTAAAGAATTATATACTGTTTCTACGAAAAGTGGCTTTTCCCCATATAAAAATACATGGAAAATTTTGAGCGCTTTGGGTGACCTCTAAATATTTTTTGATTTCAAAATAAAAAAATTGAGATATATTTTTTCGGTATAGAACAATCCTAGGGGGTGAGAGCACAAAAATTCCGACTTTACTTTTTCATATGCATTTTTGGACCACCCTAATGTACCTACATACATATATACTTAAGTACAAAGTATATTTCGAAAGAGATAAGAAAACAACTAGGCTTTTAAGAAATAATTACTACATAGCTTGAGACCAAAATTAGAATTTAGTTAGCCTAAAAGTTTTAATTATCTCAGCCTCAAATCTGTGGAGGACAAAACTTTCGGAATTTATAGATGTAAAAAGCGCCAGAAAATAAGTTTTAATCTAATATATCTCTTCTAGCCAGTGAACTTTGACGAAATCTCGTCTTAACCCCCCTTAAGGCTGCCTACGCAGAAAGAATTTTTGCGCAGAAATACTTCCGCCGCTCTTTGCCGGCAACACAGAAAGGAGAATTCTACTTCGTAAGGGTTAATGCGAGTTACAGGATAACATCATGACTGAAGAATGGCTGCAGCTGTTTTAGGTTGAAAACTGGTGCCGGATCTCTGGTGCCTTATCGGTGACCACCGTTAATGATTCCTCTCGGTACCTCACCACTATTAGGGCGGTGACTTAGGCCGCAAGCACGCATGAGCGGCTGGCTCCCTAAGAGCGCCGCTCAACTGCTCATAAATGCCGCTGCTAGGTGGCTCATCACGTGACCACTTCAATAGTATTTCATATGTTTTAAATTTCAGCCGCTCACTGCTCAGCGCCCATTTAAAATATCATTTTGCATTTCGTGCATTGCGTGATTTCTTCAGCCAACATAACCAAAGTCACCAATCCACCGTTTGGAGCGGAAATTCGAAGAAACTGGGTCGGTGCAAAACGCTAAAACACCCGTGCGTCCTCGTACAGGTCGTTCGACCGAAAATATTGCAGCTGTGGAACAGCACCGTTCAGGGGATTTTAACAAGAATAGTACGTTCCCTAATGCCCTGATGAATCATTTACGAATAGCTTCAGGGAATCTGAGTTGATGATAGACCATCAAAACCAGGAAGGATAAATACATTTGGTATACTTATGGCTACAAGATTGATGATGTTGTCGGTATACAACATATATCTGAGGTTCATGTCATTTCACTATGTCTGACAGAGTATGCGGTATACGACCAACAAATACATACTTCTACAGAAGCTCTGATGGCAGGGTGGTGCTTCTCGCCACGGTGGAAGGCAACAGACTGATAAAATGCTTCATTAAGGAAATTTAAACAAATCATTCCTTCCCCTTTTAAGACACGAAGTAAGAAGGGTTACAGGTTTCCTTACTGGCAACTGCAGGATAATGGAGTACTTGTTAAGCCTGTGAGCTAAATGCTCCGACCAGTGCAGATCGTGGAATCATTAACAGGACGCATGTACCTGGTTGAAAATTAAAATGGCAGTAGAACAGACGCCATTAGGATCAAATATTTTACAAGCACGACGACACGAAATTACCCAATCCCGTCGACGAAGGTTGCAAGTACGCTGCCTGGCCTACGCTACATCCAAAGAATACAGAAGGTTCCTTCTAGTAGCGGTTGTTCGACTACAAGCAGCCTGAAGAGCTTTATATGAAAAACTGTATGCCTTTCGCAGGAATCTGTATTTTTGTGAAATCAGGATGTACAGCTGAAATTAGAGGAGAAGCTAGACCAAACCGTTTGTAAAGTATATAAGCGGCCAATATTAAAATTTTTTATATATGAAGGTATATGCTTGGTATTTTTATTACTGCACAGCGGAATAAGGACTACATTTGTTTAGTTCCATTAATAGATGAAAATTTCATTATCATTCAACAAAATAATATTTTATGTATGTAAGTAAAAAAGTAAATAGCATAAAAAGCAATTTGAAAAATTGAGGAAAACTTCATTTCGACACAAATAGAGCTACTGGCAAACTGATTGCAATGAATTTTCTATTTGCACAAAATGGTTTTCCATTCAAATTTTCATCAAATTTATTTTATTTACTGCTTTCAATTTATTTCTCATTCATACAGTTTTCTCAGTTTTTTTTTCTCTTTTGTATTTTTTTTTTCTTGTAACTACCCTCCCCAAAATTTAATCAAATTAAATCTAAATATGTTATGCCTGTGTGTACTCACCTTCAACTTTGGCCAATGCCAGCACCGAAATTGTCTGCAACGCCGGTATCGCCCAAGCGACCAAATGAAATAAATGCGATTTATTTTCGATTGCCTCATGACCCCATTTAAGGCCAGCGGCCAAAAACCAAGCGAACGCCAAACATGACCACCAGGCAAAGGCGGCCATGCAGCAAAAGTAGAGCGCCATAAATAAAACTGTACATGCGGTGGTTTGCCGATGGCCCTGGAGGCGAGAAAAATACGAAAAAAGCAAAAAAATATAAAAAAGTAGATCAATTACTGAAGTGATGAAAAATTATGCAAAAATGGAGATTAATAAACAAAAAAAAATCGTTCAAAAAATATTTTTCACATAAATCATTTGAATGATTGGGAAATACACATATTTTAAGGGGCTGATGAATTGAAATTGTGTTATTATTGCGAATGCTTAGAAAAGAATTAGTTGAAAAAATAAGATTAATCTCTTTTAATAAGTTAAAATATTTGAATTTCCGTGGTTTTTTTTTGTTGCCTTCTTTGCATTTTTTGGAAATCTTTTATACTGCTTTAAACTTTAAATATGTTTTGAAATATTTACTAGATTTTTTTACTGCAATTACTTTAACATTTTACTGTTTTTGTAGACATTAATCTCTTTCTTTAATAAAAGTTGCATTTCTCTTCAGTTACTCACCTGCGTTATTGTCGACATCATTTGCAGCCGCCCTAGACGCACTGGCGGCGGAAAGGGTTCCCGACAAGCCACCGAATCGCCCGCTCCCAAACCGGCAACATACGCGCAACCCACAACGAGATAACAAACGGCTAGGAAAACAATGGCACGCTCCGGATAGCGAAAACGCGACGAGTCAATGAGAAAGGTCAGCACCTAGTCGGGAGAAAGAGTAGGTACAAAGATAAATGATATCATTAGATTAGCTTTCATGCTTTGTTATGCGATTAACTACGCTCATGTATGTATGTATGCATGTAGGGTATGTAATTTTAATTAACTAATTTATGCTGCTGTCAGAGAGACAACTTAATAACTTAAGACTATACATAGTTGATTAAATCAGTATTCAGAGATAGAAATCATAAAATTAAATTACACATGTATATACCTACATATATTAAAATGTATTATACAATCTTAGCTTATAATAAAAAAGGGTGTTTTCTACTAAATGACACTTTTAGAGCAATTCTGGCTAAGCATTTCGTAAGCCAAATGAAAGATAGAAGCCAGTTAGTTCGAAAGACTTTTGTTATTCTACCACAAAATTCTTAAGCAGGCATCACACGATTTGTACATTTTAACAGATTTTTACGTTTTGAAAGTTAAGACAGTGTCACACGATTGGGCATTTGCCCAAAATTTGGTGCAAATTGTATCCCAATGGTGTGAATGCACAAATATTTTTCCTTATCCCAATCACGAAAACTAATTTGCTCAAATTTTTCAATAGAAGTTCACTGCATTGTACGAATCGTGTGACTAAAAAAAAATTGTCGTCCCATTTTATTTTTATTTTGTACCAATAGCCCAATATAAAGAGTGTACAAATCCGTACAAATGTACCAATCGTGTAACACTGCCTTTACAGAGTGGGGTTTTGTTATTGAGCTGAACTCATTCTCGATACAAATTTCTAGACAACACAACTCTGTGACGGCCAAAATGTATAAATCTGTACAAATGTACAAATCGTGTACAAATGTACAAATGTACAAATCGGGTATCCACTCGCAGGCCCGTCAGAGCCGAGGGAATCGCATACAGGAAAACATAGTTGAAGGCCCTTGCTATGTCGAAGAGTTCCACTACTGACAATTATATCATTTATATTCGTTTGGCATTAGAGGCCTTGACCTCTATCCATATCACGGGAATGTACCCGAGTCTTAAGCAGCTGAAGAATATGGTTTTTAGCGCTCCCAAGTAAATAATGCAGCTCACAAGTAAATAATGGGCAAGACTACAAAGGTTTCATAATAATAGTATAAATTAAATTATAGAGCAGTGTAAATCAAATACTTAATAATAATTTTTCCATTTTATAGTCGCCCATTATTGACTCTCTATGCAAGTCGATGCTCATATGTACTCTCTTCTTTTTAATTAAATTTTGCAATTAAAAGTTCACATCAAATAAGTTTCATAATCCACACATATACATACATATGAACTTCATGGATGTGCTTGCGGCTTTGTACACTAACTCTTTCTCATATTAGTATTGTATTACCATACAGTTCAACCGAGGACATCGCACCTATCTTCCTGGTAACAAACACCTTTTATGTAATAAAAAAAAAACGCCAGCACACAAAAAAGCATAACTATGCAACGGTGGGTACTTTTTATAGTCACACAGCCTAACATAAGTACATACATATGTAAGTTACTACTATTCAGCTGGTAAGGAACAGTAAAGCTGCTGGGCAGGAGTGCTAGCAATCAGCAATGGTTTTGTATTTAGTCAACAACGTCAGAGTTGTCATTCATAGTCATTTCACTGATTGGTGACGGAGTTGACATTTGTTTGAATGCAGTATTTATCTGGTGTTGCTGCTGCTAAAGTTGGAGTTGCGAATTATGTTGGTTGGTGTGTATTCTTTTTTGAATAAATAGTTCCTCCTATGCTGTAACGATATAATCTTATCCACATAATTATCAATGTACGCGATAATGATGCTGTTGCACCCTGCGAAGCTGTGACCAATGCTTTTGCTGTTGTCTGTTTGTGACTTTGGTGACGCCAGCCTTATCTCTTAGTTGTGCTGTATCTGGTGACATTAGAAAAACCCATTACCACAGCCGTCAAAGCGTTTGCTATCTGCTTTTTCTGTCGCTGATAAAACCAAAGTCTTCTTCGGTGCGCTGCTGCTGACTTTATACTACTCTTTCAAGCTTTTATGGTTTTCCACACTACATTATGGTATGGCATTTCAGTTGATGACTTTTCTTAATTACAAATCCAACATCCTCACAGTTTTTGCGAAGTTTGTCACTAGTAGTGATGAGTTTGGTTAATGTATGGCGGGCTACGAGGGTGGGTCGTTAAGTACTGTGTTTTAAAGAGTGGAAGGTTACTTGTGCCAGAGGTAATATAATAACAAAACAGACCAAAGTTTTCTAATTGTTGTTGAAGACATATTTGATATTTTGATTGATATGCGATTTTAAGCACTATTAAATAACTATGAAGTCATTTAAAAACTTTGCACATACACTCACGGGAAAAAGTATTGGCACAGACTCACGAAAATTTAATAAATTTTCATCTTTTTAATCAGATTTTTAAGGTTAAGATTAAGCCGCGGTGACTGGAATCGGGGAAGAAATCAGTAGTTGAGTGGTATTACTCTTTTTGCCGACGGATCATAGAAGAATTGTGTTTTCCAGACGGAAAATCAAGCAATTAAGGAAGGGCTAACAAATACCTTAACCCGCAAGGGAGATGCGGCAAGCGAAGACTCAGACCTGGACTGCGTCGATGAAGCTACATCAAGTGTCAACTCCGTAAGAGAGAAGGAGCTGCTAGCGAGTCCCGCAAAAGGTACTCGCAGAAGGCACACAAAGTGTTGAATACAGAGGGCCACACAAAGAGCAACAGACACAGAGCGGCCCTACGGACCGGGAAACTGGGCGCCTGGTATGGGTCAGAGAAGCTGTTCAAGCGGGAAAAATGTGGTTCGATAGCCGAAGATTTTCGTACAGCAACCCCAGAGAGGCAATGTGGAGGTGCAGGCTAAGCGCGGGAACCGAAAGATGATGCAAGGTTCCGCGGACAAACGACAAAATAGTTCCAAGGAGGAAAAGCTGTCATCGTCCAAAGCTAAGAGCTTCTGGACTAGCAAACGGCAGGTCGTACATGGCAAGATCTGTAAAGCAGGCGAACAAAGACCGACATCATTACAACAAAGGCAGTGATGACGGCAATTTGTCGACCTCTAGGGCGGTAAGACAGAAAAGGCGCGACAGAGGTTGCGACGACCTGGGCGCTGGGAACGATTACTCTCGGCTTTCTGAAGCGAAACTATAGCTAGGCAATATCTGATGGTGGCGCTTCTCGATTGCAGCGAACACTAAGGACAGATGATAAGGAAGATACATGCTTTTCTTTGATGTGGCAGGTTTCCTTAATAGGGTAAAATGGGAGGAAACGACGACGCAACATTGAGCTGGTTAAAGAGAGTGGTACCTAACCTTCTAAGACACGGTAATACGTACGCTCTAATCCCATGATACCAAGGCCTAAGGTATGAAGTGTTTCGGAAACCTATAAAATGTGTTTTTGTATTAAAAAAAAAGTGTTCGAATGTAAAACTAAAATTTCCAAAAATCTCGCTTTTATAAATAGATTTGAAGTAAAGTAATTAGTTGACGGCATAAAAAGCGAAGTCTTCTAAAGACAAACTCTCAAAGGCTCCATACAGAGCCTAAGACTGCAGGTACTACTCGGATATAATAAAATTTAATTTTTGCCACACAGTGTGCAGCCGCATCAAAAACAACAGATTGGCGCCAGTTGGCCGCGCTTTACATGCCTGGTGAAAGTAGGATGACTTGTAAATATATATAAAATACATATGTATATTCGTTTTGAAAGCTAAACTTGAAGGAGTGACTATTCATCAAACACAGAAGAAGCAACAAACAGAAAGAGCAACAGCATCATCATCATCGTCACTAACGAAGTAAAGTCATCAAACAAAGCTTTTGTTTGTGAATTATGTTTGCTTCCCATTGTGCAACTGGCAGCTGGCAGCCAACATCAGTGCACGGACTTCGAAGGAATTTAAGGTGGTAAATTTGACATACAAAAATTGGTAGAAAATTGTAGATTTTTTTTAAAGGAAACAATATTAGAAAGTTTTTACACATATAGGATAAATGAAGTCGAATTCAAGTGAGCTAGTGTTATCAGAGCAGCTGAATTTCCGCCGCGGTGGTTCTTGTTGTCAAAATGATGTATTTGTTGTAATTCGTATTGTTATTACGCGTAAAATTTGTTAGTGGCATTTTTGTTTTTGAACTTCTGCTGTGACTTTATATGAATTCGCCTTGGAATAAACTGCCAATAAAACATTCAAGAAAAAACGTATACATAAAACTGGGCCCGAATCATGGCATCCGTGATCGAATGAAACGCGATTCGAATCGAATGAAATACATTTTAAGTTGAAAAAGCGAACTCGTTACCAAATGCCGTAATCTCAAAAACAAATTTCGATTCGAATTTGACTCGATCACAGATGCCTTGATTCTACCTCAAAAAAAAAAAAAAAAAGAATTACTCTGCACTACAAAATTGTTTGATTAAATTTAGTTTTGAAATGCTTGAATTTTGCAACCCATTCATTTGGCAGTCTCCCAAACAAACTTATTGCAAACGACATATGTATATTTCCATAAACAGCTTATATGGATGCAATTTCACTTTTAAATTTGTTATGGTCAGGGTTAACTTTTCATATTTATTTTAGGTGTGTTCGATGACAAAATACAGCTAAAAAGTTGGTAGATCGACCAATAAAGTGGTAAAGTCCCTACACTGGCCAACATCAACCATATACAATCTGTATTTCAAAGAAAATGACATCGTTAGTCGTATTCGTATTCGTCGTACTCGAAGCTTGTTAGTTGTTCATTTTTCAATTTGTTAGTTTGACAACACATTTGACTTTTGCAAGTGCTGTTCGGACACGAGAACATATGAATTTGCAAGACAGCGTGAAGCAGACATTCATATATACATACATATATAGACAACCGCTGACACGGATTAATGATGTGGTGCGTTGCAAGGAGGCAGATGCAAAGTCAAGTAGGTGGTGTGCTTTGGCGAGGGTTTCTTGGTATTTCACCAATACTTATTTTAT